CCATAAAGTAATGGGTTTTTGAACATTAGTTTGAGTTCTGATACTGGACGCTGTGTATGTATAGTGTAGTGCTGGTTTTTATTCCTTTTGGCCAACTCTTGGTGGGAGGTGAAAATTGTACCTTCTAACCAAACTGTTCTTTTTCCTCCGCCTTCAGAGGTCAATCATCTTAGTTAACTTCACTTTCCTCCCTTTTCTTCACTTCCCTCTCTCTCCTGTTCTAGTGGATATATGGTCTGTGGGATGCATTATGGGAGAAATGGTTCGCCACAAAATCCTCTTTCCAGGAAGGGACTGTATCCTTGTACCTTTTGCTACAGCTTTACCTGTTTTGTTCTCTCTCCCTTTAAACACGTAATGATTTTACCAGGAGAGTAAAGATAGAAGCAAAAAGTTGGGTAAGTGGTGTAACTGTAATAAAAAAGTAATGATTTCTATAATATGACCAGTACTGAAAACTACCTACCACAGTGATTTCTTTTCATTAAATTTCCAGTGGACTTTTTTCTTTTTAAATTACTTTCTTGCCTGTAACTCAAAATAGCAATGCTATCTTTTTCATAAATAACAGAGGCTACCAGACCCCAAATGATTAAAATATATTTAGCTTTGTAAGCAGACAAAGTCAGTATTTGCAAATCATTTTCCACTTCCTTTCTAAAACTGTTTTGTGCTTCTACAACATTTAGGCAAAATAATTTCTTTCCTTGCTGACATCCTAAGCTCTGTCTATAGCTTCATTGATTTAAATTACTTTTGACACTATATCCACTCTTTAATAGGTCAAAAAAGAATATCTTCCCCAAAACATGAACTTCCACATTTAAAAACTGTAATTATTATTCAAACTGCTGGAAGTCAGGTGAGTTTAAAATAGGCTTTCTTCATTTGACTTGGAGATATGACATGAACATATATACTTGATTTCCCAAACAAATTTAGAATTTTGCAAAGCAGTGTTGATTTCAGTTCTACCACTGAGTCCTGCAATAGATTCCATCAGAAATTTATTGGAGAGCTATCTATGATTTGGAATTATTAAATGAGCTGGTGTATTTCTTAAATGGCCAAAAGTTCACTTTCTGATACAGGTACATATTTGGGTTTATAATATATAGACAATAGGAGAACATACATTTATAAATACAGAAATACCTTGCTAACAAACACTAGGGCAAGTCTAAGTATAACAATTGACAACTTTAACAATGATAATGCAGGGCTGAGTTCAGTATATTTATTATATATGAATTTTTTGGAAATTAGCAATAAACATGTGGTCCATAACTCTACTAACCATTTTATTTGATTAATAAGAAAGCTCAATCAAGAAGCCCTTTTATGTAGAAAGATTATGATTTTTAATTAGGAAAAAAAGGTTAATGGTACAAAAAAGTCTGACTCCATAAGAAGTTGATACCGTAGTGATCATGCATTTATGTTGGCATTTATTGATTCTGCTGGATATTAATGATATATTCTCTGAATTCCACTAGTAATGTAAGTGTAATGACATCTTCTAGAACTGCAATGTCTAGTAAGTAGCCATTAGCCACATGTGGCTAGTCAGCACTTGAAATTATAGCTAGTTTGAATTGAGATGTGTTATATGTGTAAAATGCATACCAGATTTTGAACATATTAAAAAAGTATGTAAAAATACCGTTAATAACTTTATGTTAAAATTACTATATTTTGAATATATTGGATAAAATAACATATTATTAAAATTAATCTCACATGTTTCTTTTTCTTTTGAATGTGGATTTTAGAAAACTTAAAATCATATATATGAGTATGATTTGGATTTGTGGCTGTCACTTTTCTATTAGACAGTTTTAATCTAGAACCTGAGAGAACCACACGGCAGCCTTTTATATACACTCAGTCTTAAGTCTTAAATTACCATTTGCTCCATGTTCCTTTGCTATCTATAGAGTGAAGTGTTATTTTCGTCATCAAATTTCATGTGACTGCTTAGGAAAATTTATTTTGCTTTAAATTACTTATTTACAGTTTGTGTATCAATTCTATAGCTAATGTAGTTGATTTAAAGAGTATTACAAATCATAGTCATATTTAAATGTACTGATTTCACTCAAAAGTAGAAATTATTTTCTTTGTGCTTTTGCCTTTGGGGTATATACATTTCAGACAAAATAAAAAAAAAAAAAAAGGAACCTCTCAATCAGTACTCAAAGTTGCACAGCCACATCTCTATCACGTACTTGTTAGCAGAAAACAAAAAGGTGTAGGATTGCTCATTTCCATGTGACATTCTTATCACATGTCACTTGATTTCTACATAGCAAGCTTGTTCTCCAAGATCTAATTTAGCTCTTCAGGCATTTATCAGGATTGCTTTTCTCCTATATTAACAGGATTAAATTTAAAAGCCAATAAAATTAGAAAACAAAATAAAACACTTTTTAACCCAAACTAACCCTTCAGAAAAACAAAGATAATGGCACCATATTAATAATTCTGTATTCTCCCCAAAATTGTTCTCTTGGCAGTCCCTTTTTCCCCTTTTATTCTGGTTTGCTTTAGAAAAATGTTTGGAACTGAAATTAAATTGTACAAAAATCAATACATAAAATTTATAACCCTAATATGTAATTGTGAAAGAAATTAAATAATCTCTAATACCAAAAATGTAGATTGTGATAAGGGTTTACATTCTGTATTGCTTTATCTCAAGTGGTGATTATGCAGATAGACTATAGGTCTTCGATAGCTAGT